TTGGTCACGACTTTTGTACCGATCGTTCGTCAGCTATTCGTACATCTGATACTGAAATCATGTAATTGTGTTACTGATTATCTGCTTTTATAAAGCAATTTCAACTTATATTTTAAGAAATTTAATACATAACAGGTGGATATGATTACTTCATCTGGCCTATAAAGAATCCTGATGACTTTAGGATACATAAGACAATAACTTTGTAAATCTTGGACATTAATATATAGAACTTATAATTAATAGAATTAATTATATATATTTTATAAATTAATTTAAAGATTTACAGTTTATATAATAATTTAAAAAAAAGAAATTTTTATAATTTCCAACATATGAATTATTATAGAGGATGGCACAAAAGTCGGTTAACATTCTTCAAAGATCAGTTAATTGATTTTTGGGTGATCTTGAATGTAAATACATTTATAAAACTATAATAATATAATATAAATTTAAATGTACGAGTGTAACTTTTATATATTATGTTTCAGTTGTTACTTAGAACAGTGTTTTTATTCAATATACTTTTTGAAACACGATGTTTATTACTAAAATACCAGACTATTTAACATTTTTTGTTTATCCGTTTCAAAAGAATAAATAAAAGATCAGTAAAATAAGCATAAAACCATAATATATATAAAAAGCATTTCATATATTAAGATTTTATGCTTACTTTTACTGTAAATACTGTACTCACAGCAGGGCCGTCGAGAGCTTGTATGGGGCCCGGGTAGAGCGGGCCAATTTTGACATTTAAAAAAAAATGAAATACGTATGTTTCTTTAATAATAAATGAAAAATAGTCTTAAAGCTCTTATTTGTTATTCGTCAAATAACATTACTTTATAGGGTAGGACCTACTACGGGCCTCCTATGTTTTCGGGAAAAATCCCCTATTCTCTTCTCTCGACGGCCCTGACTCGCACTATAATTTACTGTCACTTGAGTTACTTATGTTGTGTAATATTTATAGTAAATTAACAAAAATATACAGTTTTATTATGTAAAGTTCTTTAAAGCAAAACAATAAAACTTAATGTAATGAATTGTAAACGATAAAAAATTTCAACCAAGCCATGTTTATTTATTTATTTATTTTTGCCCTTGATCTTGGTCAACAAAGAGTATTGTTTAATCGATGACCAATATAGATTCTTTCCTAAACAACTAATACTATAAGGACACCGAACCTTACGTGTCACATGACTTAAGGTCATATTGTGGCTTTGTCAAGTTGATAAATATGATCTTTTAGAGATATGAAAGCAGTCATTCAATTTGATATGTCATTTTTTTAAGTCTAATTGCCTCTCAGAAATCACAATGGAGTCTTGTCTTATCGCATATGTATTTATTTGTAATATGCTTTCAAATAATGGTATAAAATATCATTTCCTCTATCAAATAGTTCCATTATGTCTGTTTTTTGAAAGAATAATCATAAGAATTCATTCCTGTTCATAACAGTGTAGCTTTGATTTTTTCCTTTTAATAAATCTTTTTGTATACATCAGTGTAAATGCAATCGATAGAATTCACCCCTCGGGAAGTAACGGAAGAGGGCTTCAAACAAGTCATGGATTATTGAAGGGTCCTGTATGGTTCACTGAATTCAATACCAGTGTTGGACACAAAGACTGCTTTTGGAAAAGAAAATCACGTATAATTTTAGAAAAATTTCTGTTTGGAAATGAAGATAAATTATATTTAAATGAAGATTTCAAAATAAATATACTTTAATACAACCTTTGTATAAATAGTATGGTTTATACTTGTTTTAATTCATACCTTAAATATAAAGTAGAAATAAACTATTATAGTTCTTTTATACTAGTAGAACTGCACTTTTATTTTATAATATATCAATAATACTTTTACTATATAATATTATAATCCAGTAGAAATATAGAACTTTAATAGTTAACTTGTTTTATGTAGTAATGAATATTTATTCAGAACGAATAAACGTATTGTATATTCAGTGGAATAATTTATAATAATTCTTTTGTAAATCTGAAGACTAACATAAATTTTTACTTTATGGGAATAATAGAATAATATATCTTTTAGAAACTTTTTAAATGATGATTTTATTTATTTTTATCAACGTCTAAAATTATTATAGTCTGAATATATGAATATTGACAACCGAATGTAATGAAGGTGTAAATGTAGGCCTATATACTAAATAGTAGTGTTTATGACACGTGTTAATAATGGAAAATAATTTTAAATTTTGAAAAATCACAATATAGATTTTTTAATTTAAATTGCGGTGAAATAAAATTTAAACGTTCTCCAGTAAACCTTTCGCAAAATTTAAACCGTACAGAGGAGAATTAGGAGTAAATCTTAGGGAAAATCGTCTTTATCCCTCTTCTCTAAATCAATTTCTGGAACATTAGTCTCAGTGCTGAATACAGATATTTATCCGATAAAAGTTTAATATTATAAATATTAAGCTGCTTAATAATAATACATAGTTATGTAGTTTTTAATGTAAATAAACTTAGTAAAACGAAATTACAAAAGTTTTATTTTCGAAATTTAATTAATTCATTAATTTTAAAGTAAGAATAAATAGCACCCTATATTATATCACAATAAATATATTTGAATAAAAACTAAACATAAAAATATAAAAATGAGTATTATAATTTGTAAGAAATGAATTTTGAAATTTTAAATACAATAACAATAAATAAATAAATAAATAATTGGTAAAATATTTACTTAAAACTGACTGAAAGAACTTATCATCCAGAATTTATATAATTTTAGATCATTTGATCTATATTAATGCATGTTGGGGAACTGATAAGCTGTACTGTATTAATTTTTTATTTAAAGTAACGTTTTTATACAAGAGATTGCAATCTAAACTACCGTGAGAATACGTGCAATAATGCATAGTTCATTGTCACACAAATAGGCTATCAGTAAGTACATACTTTTATTAAAATCTGAGAAGTTGAAGTTGCCAACAAATGTTATTTTTTCGCTTCTTTTTCTTTACTTTTTTTCTTCTACAAAGCGCTAGAATTTCTACTTAAGATAAGAAGATTAGGAGGAAAAAATAACCTAATTCAAGCACAGTTCTCAAGAATATTGGGAGGAGTTCACGGTTTAAAATCATTTTACCAAGAAAGAATTTAAGAATAAAAAGAAAAAAGAATTAAAGTAAATTATTTTTTATACTAAATTGCTTCCTCTATAATCATAAATAACTATAAACATTCCACAAATAAGATCGATAACTTGACGATTATCTTCGAGAGAAGAATTGGGATGCGATTCTTAAAATGATGGATTTCGAGATAAGTTCAATTGGATAGAGAAATAATTTAGATATTTTGATAGTCAAGGAAATAAGGAAGGGAAAGAGACAGATAATTACGTGACAAGTCGAACGAGTTGGGTCAGAATGACGAAACTTCGAGTCCGATTTACGTCAATTCAGTGGTTAATGACCTTTACCGGAGTAAGTTTCACATATCATTTGACAGAAAATAATGAAAATGAAAAATAATAAGGGTATAAGTCCGAAATTATTATTTAGAGCATGGCATAAACAACATATTAATTCATTTTGACACAAGGATGAAAGCTGTCGACCTTGTGTTTCCATTACAGAAAATTAACAACGAGGTACAAGGTCATTTTTGCTTTCGAGGCTCCATCTATTATCAGGAGATGGAAACAATAATAACAAAAAAATGAGAATGATTTTTTGTTAATTAAAATTAAATTTGAAAGAAATGTTTTGTATTACATTAATAATAATATAAAAAAAGCATAATTTAAAATTTTAGAAAAATCTTAAGTAAAAATTTAATTTATGTTTATTTAACCGGTTAAGAAATCTGAAAAGCGGTGGCCCGTTAGCTCAGTTGGTTAGAGCGCCGTGCTGATAACGCGGAGGTCGTGGGTTCGACCCCCATGCGGGCCAAGTTTTTTTTTCATTTTGAAAGCAATTTTCTTTTTTTGTTTTTTTTTCAATAAGAACTTACCAACCAATCGATAATAATTCAAGGAAACAAAAACTTATAGATATTTTGATTACTTTGCAATTTTATTTACTATAAATAAAACACAAGTTCTTTTAATGCATAATGCAAAACTGAAAATGAATTCCGTTAGAAGAATGAATTATATAAGTAAAATAAAATAATGAACTTTTATTATGATGGAACTATACCCACATTGCGCCATCTGTGGAGAAAAATACTAACTAATTGATTAAATTTGAAGGTTTGGCTTACTATTTTGCAGTTTTATTTATAAGTATAGTAATATAATTATGAAGTATGTAATCGCATAAGGATCAAATATAACTTGGAAGAAAAATTCAAATAAAGAAGAATGTAAGTCACAAACATAGGATTCCCAAAATTTAAACTTTTTTAAAATATAAAATATGATAGAGTATAAATTAACTTCTTTTAATTATGATTTTGCCTTATTTAATTTCATGCCTTTTGGAGTTAGTAGGCTCGAGTGATATCTCACTTGTTTCAAACTTTACTAATTGCAATAGAAATAAATATAAAGAAACTTCTTTAATAATATATAGTGTAATGATGTTACTGAACTCGAATTTATTGACAGTTATCATAGAAAAATAATAACAAACATTTCAATTAATTTAAAGATAAGAAATTTGAAAAATATTTTATAAATATAATAATAATTAATCAAAAATTGAAATTAATAATTCTTCAACTTTCACTATCTTTCTTTCTGAAGAAATCTTCCTTAATTAAGCTGAAGAATTTAATGAATTTTCGAACATTATACTAAAATATCGAATTCAAGTTACAAAAATATTTTTTAAATTTAAATTATTAATTTATTAACAGATATAATCAAATGTACTATACACTGAGAATATGTTAATGTATGTCTATTTGCTCAAATGACAAAATTGTAGGTTATATAAAATAATTTGTATATATTTTATATATTAATTTTTGCATATTTTGTGCAAAATATAGTATCCGGCTCCATATTTTGCGGAGGTCAGTGCGAAATGTAAATGCGAAACCTTTTCCAGACTCACAGACCGAGTATTAACCAAGCGGAGGCACCTCAGAGTTCCTGATCGCACATCGTGAAGCTGGATCTAAGAATAAGTTTTAATGATTGAAATACTTTACGAAATGCTTTAATTATTTAATTATTATTTTTGATTATTATTATTATTATTAAAATAAAATGACTTTTTGAAATAGGTACCGGCACAAGAAAACTTAAAAGGTATAAACCTATACTGTACAAAGAACGGGAAATAACGGCAAAAAACTTCGTGTTATTTCGGGAAGACGAAAAAGAGAAAGATTTAAAAGATGAATTGAAGAGATAACGAAGGACAACGATGAAAATCATTCTCTATTGAGAAATGAAAATTGGTTAGACGCGAAAATTAGGCTGTTGAAATCGTGATAGTACCTGTACATTATATAAAATAAACTGGATGAAAGAAAATGTATATTTTTCTGTAATTATAAAGGGCATTTTGCCTACACGCCATAAAATAAAAATTCATAAATTCGTTGTATTATTTACTTACAAAAACTTTCTGGCCTGTAAATATGCCCTCTGTAAATTAAATAATAGGTTATTATATATATATATGATCAAAATAATTCTAAAAAACCCATTAACACATTACAATTTTAATTGTAAGAAAAGATTAATTTTTAAAAATAAGTATATCCTCCACTGTTACGATTGTAATATATTTTCTATTGTTACTGAAATCCGTATTATATAGTTGAAACATCATACAAGAATGGCTAACACCAACACGAACATATTGTAGTCTATATATGTTGGTGTTAGCCATTCCTATATGGAAACATACTGTATGTATATCAATATTTCCAGTGGCAGATTTCCCATTAGAATCAGTAGATCTGGGCCTAGGGAAGCAAGCGTTTTGGCGTGCAAAACTTTAAAATAATAATAATAACAATAAAATAACGAAAACATAATTTTATGTAGAAACAACTGACACAGGAATTAGTTTAAACTAAAAGCTTAAGCAAGGACAAAATGACAATATCAGTTAAGTAGTATTAGCCTAATACAGTATACGAATTTAACAGAGTGGTAGTACAAATGACGATAACAGTGCCCTTTGCCCTTTCGATATTTAAAAATCTGTAAAAATACAATTATTTCCGAAATTATAAAAGAGAATTGTTCAATGAAAAAGTGGCACTGTTAGTTTGGGGATGCTTACATATTGTGAGCCTAGGGGCGTCATATTTCTAAATTCATTACTGGGTGTTTCACCAACATACGAGTATATACAATATGTTTCCTGGAACTTATCTTAAATTTCTGATACTGAAATTATGGGAAATAAAACTGCTTACTCAACAACGATTTTCCAAGAACTAATTGTATCATTTACTATTATTCTACTACTCTAAGGCATCGCGCCGTCTAGTGGCGTTTCCACAGGTAACGACGGTTTTTCTATTATTGAATGTAATTATAGAATTGTTCTTTGTAGGAAATATGTCTATACAGAGGCATAGCTACCGTGGAGCAGTTGGAGCAAACTGCTCCAGGCGCACGAATCACGAGGGCGCCAAGTTAGAAAGGGCGAAATAAAAAACTTGTAAAAACATTTGTAACAAATTATTTTGGATATAATAATTAATCAATTAACTTTTAGATTTGAATTTAATACTAATAGTTAATTGATTAATTATTATATCCAAATTTTGTCATTTCACTTTGTATAACATGTAGTAAATATTCTTAAGTACTCCGTATTTAAATAATTGCACTTTGTTTTATTATTACTTTCGTATTTATTAAATTGAATATCTTATTGTTGAAATGGCTCGAATTTCAAATAAATTGCTATTAAGTAAGGTTTTAAATCGAAATGAATATATATATATATATTTAAAATTAAATGTTCAAAATAAATTTCGCGAGACCATTTCCGAGGAACAAGGGGACGCACCGATTCTACTTGCTCCGGGGCACTGACATCACTGTGTCTACAGTAATTATTTTGTTCCATTAATTGAATTGTGCTTTTATAACATAACAAACTATAAACATTAATAGCATTTTATATTGCTTAAATATGTTGAAATAAATAAAAATCTACATTCAGGTTTGAGTTATGGCAACGCAACACTTGGGCGATCTGCCTAGGAGGATGCTTTCCCGGGAGATCTTTATAAGGGAAACTGGTCCCTATTCAGGCGTTACAGACGTGGAGAAAATCCGGAAAACTCCACGTGGCCAGCCCGTCCGAGCGAGGCGCGAACCTACGACCTAGTGTTCAGGTTACGAAGACCACTTGGCTACTGGTAGACTCCGCGTTCGGTATTATGATACAAATTGCAGTTTAGCTTATACCGAAATGATCCTCATAGTGGATGAAAATAAGATATATATTTGTAGTATTCAGATAAAAGCAAACATTTCATTACTTAAAGGCTAATTTACGAAATTTATGATTTTGTCTGTCGGTATAGGGGAGATCGGGGCAAGATCGGCATGTTAAGCTTTACTTAAATTTTGTGTAATAAATACTGCTGTGAACTGAAAAAAAAGCTTTGCATATTGTCTATTGGAATGTTACCTTACTATAGAACTGGTTAAAATCAGTTTGGAAATAAAAATAATTAAAATAATTACAACTTTACAAGAAGAGAGAAATTGACGAAGTTGCCCCGGGTATAGGGGCAAGATCGGCAACTTCTCTCTTTTTGTAAAGTTGTAATTATTTTAATTATTTTTATTAAAGTTGCCCCTGGTATAGGGGCAACAGTAATGGGGCAAGATAGGCACGTATATAAAATTATGTTATTAACAATGTATAAGTTGGAATTCACTATTAAAACAAAGAAATACAAATCCAACACCCATTTAATATTATTACAACGAAATGCAAGTTCAAAGACATATATACATGAATAACAAATGCAAACATGTTTTCATTTATCATCTGTTTGATTTTTATCCTTTGCTTCTAATGTGGCTTTATGTTGCCGATCTTACCCCGCTAGTCATGATTTCGAAACATTAAGTACAACCCTGAGAACAGAATGCCAAGCCACGATCTGGCCACGTGAATAAGTTGAAGTTACATCCTTCTAACAGGAAAAGTAACTTTCGTTATCATGGAATTATAACAAAACCTGCCAATTCAATATAAATGGAAAAAAAATATTATATGGAATTGAACGAAAATGAAAATTTGCTTGATAATTCAACTACGCTTGTTGGAGAACAATAAAAACACTACACTCAACAAGCCACCAATAAAACTCAACTGCCTAACCTATAACCAAAGTCTCCTTTTAATTTGTTTTTTAAAAAAAGCGCTTGACAAACTTGCTCCGCATGCCGAAGTTGCCCCGATCTCCCCTACGTGTTCAAAGAAAATGCTGAACACAGTGGAAAAAATGCATAGAATGGAATTTAAATTGTACCAGAGTATTTAAATAAATGATACAATATTCATAAAATAACATGTGTAATACTGTTAAGATGGTCTCGAATTAAAGAAAAATTTCAGCAACTAGTTGTTTAACATTACCAGCAACATTTGGTGGCGACATCTGTTATCATATTTTATATTTATAAAATATAACAGATGTCGCCACCAAGTGTATTTTTTGTACTACCAAACTTTTTATATTTTTAACTATTATAAAATGGCAAAAAGCTTAATTTTGAGGGTAGGTATGGGTTTATAAAATATTGTAAATGCCAATAACGAATAAAATCCTGTCATTAAGTCCGATCCTACTGAATATACACACCATACACGATCCCCTATATCTCCTCTAACCTTCGACTTTTAATAACCAAATTGCAATAACATCGATCTCCTAATAAAGAAACGTCCCTGTTAAATTTCAGAAAATTTTGACAAGAAGCACAGAAATTATTAAGCTTCAAACAGGGTGAAAAAAATCGTGCTCCACACACAAAGACACATTAACATTCATACATACAGGAAAAAACTCCCGATTTTTTTGCAGTTCTGGATGTTTTAAGGTTCCACAAATTCAAAAATGTAAAAATCTTGAGGGTCATTTTTTGACCGATTGCCATACTTTCCCTCTGTTATGTATAATAGTTGGAAAAGTGATAATATAAAATTTGAATATTAAAACAAAAAATAATTTGAAGTTTTCTTATTATACTATGTATTCTTCTAGTATCGCAGGAACGTAGTTAAACATAAATGAAGTCGATCTTTTCTTAAAAGCATTACGCTGAGAAACTATATAAAATTGCTTTTCAAAGTTCATTTGGCGCATTAGGAAGACTACTTTTTTAAATGTTAAGTTCAGTTTATATATATTTTAAAGTACGTTTCTTAGATTTTGTTGTTATAAACACTTTTTTATAATTAATGTTAAGGAAATGCAAATCTTATTTTCTTTTAATGCTTTACGAAAATGTATATTTAAGTAAATTTATTAAATATTACCTATAAAACAAGAATTGGATACTGCAAAAGAATCAATAATTAACTTTCAAATTTATAAAATTTGTTTGAAAAACCTATCTTACAATATTTTAATTGAAATTATTTCATTCGGAACAAATTTTTTTTTTTGCAATAATTATAGAATACGTCTCAATTCTCTTAGAATAAACGTAATATATCACTCTTTTCAGCTAACTTCTCAAACCAGTAATTTAGAGACAAAATGGCAGTGATAAATTATACCGTGTATGAAATACATCGACACGTTTTGGCAATTTGACAATCTCTTTCCATTAGCAATTAGTTTACCAATATTTAGTTAGAGAAATATAATTACCTGCATAAACAATGCGCAACATAGGTTCTTCAGGCAATATGAACCATTCTTTGATAATTTACAAAGACACGAGTACCGTTTTTTTATGTTGAAGACTTCATCTAACACAAAAGAAAAGAATATTGCCAGTTTCAAACTGTCCGGACTTATGTAAAATCTTCAAGATTTCGTAGGAAAAAAAATTTCTAGCATGATTTAATTAACGACAGATTATTGCAATTAAGCAGAAATCAGTTTTTACGTATTGTTCTTTATTCTACGAAGAATAAATAAAGTAATACTTTCCTTAAATCATTGTCAAAGTATTTTTCTTAACAGAATCAGAATGAAACTAGATAGATTTATCGTGATGAAGCCAATTAACGGACTCATCACTAGGAAAGAGCAAGTGGAAAAACGCTTGCTACTCCAGTTACCTTATCCTAGCATTAGATATTGCATAAATAATATTGATATTAAAATATCAATATTATTTAATGGCCCATAACGTACATATTAATTAAAAGACATTATATTACTCATAATTTCATAATCTAATAAACTACGTTTTTTAAGCAGAAATAAGTTTATTTTCTTGATAAATGATACGTAAAAAAGTAATATTTTAAAAATTATTTTTACTGTAAAAATATGAGTCTATCTGATAATAAAATTTATACACTTAATCACTCATTGCTTATAAGTTACTTTATAAATGTGTGTATAAAGAAAGGCCCGCAATTGATTTATCTCGTGCCCAGTACCCTATAAGTACAGCCTTGATTAGCACGAGACTCGTTTTATACACAAGAAAAAAATTTATTATAGATAGATCTTGATATTAATAAAACCGAACGGATATACAGACAAACTGATGAATAGAATTATGTTAACAGATAACAGATCAGACAGACAAACTAGCATCAATCGATGAATAAAATGTATACAGGTTTCAATCTCTTTAATTGATGAGAATAGTCATACAAACGGACAAAATAAATACTCGTACAATTTTACTTATAGCTAGTAGCTTTTTAGCTTATAAAACTTTATAATATAAATAAATCTTTATATCTCATCTGCAAACATTAATTAATAAATAATTAAAACATTTTCAGTAAATTCATCCACCGTCATATAATTAATTTACATAAATGCGGGCATTATCTTTAAAATTTAGAAGGTTTCACCTTTATATAGGAACATTGACCTAGAGAATTTGGGCATGTAGCCAGTCAAGAAAAAGTTTTTGGCCCTATTTTCGAGTAAATATGTCCAAAACATTAATATAATTTGCCATAAATTTATAATTTATAAATTAATACAATTAAAAATTTAAATTATTTGAAACTTATTTTTACTGTAAAAAACTGATCTTTTTTTAAAATGAATTTTCATAATTAAAACGATAGACTTTTAGCTAACCTCTTGTAAATTGTAGGAATACAGATGGCGAAACACCTGTCTTTTATAACGTCATGTGCTATCCTCATTTGTTATATTATTATTATTATTTATAAGAACAGTTTGCTTCATGATGCAATTGAAACTACATTAAAATTTCTCTCTTTGATATTAATAAATAGGTAAATATTAAATTTGGTTATCTATAAATTTGTGAATTTATTATTATTTAAGTGTATAATTGTTTTTAAATATAAAAACACTCTTTTCTCCTTTAATTTTATGTTTATAAGATAAATTTTATAGGATTTTCTTTAGATTTATACATTGTTAATTCATTGTAGATAGGCCATAGTCAAGAACTGATTTTGGATAATAAATCAATATTATAGATACATAATAATCATTAAATTTACTAGAAAGATTATAGTTGACGGACGGCATTATAATCGGGCCCTAAAATGGGTGAGCCTTACATTGGTAGAAATTCAGCTCTGAATAAGGCGGCTGGGACCTTATCGAAGCTGTAGACTATGCCATTAAGAGTAAAAAAAGTCAAAGGAACCGATGGTCTACATGTAAACGTTCGGGAGATATAGCGGTGTAGAATATAGTAAGTCTATATATAGTACAATACTGTATATAGATATAGCCTATTCCGGAAGTAGTCGATGTAATGGCGTTTCTCGTGTTTTATGAACTTTTAACTGTCTGTAGTAAAGTGGAAAGCAGATGAATTTTGCATTGTTTTGAGAAATTATTCTGGATTTTTTTATCTTTTAAATTTTTTGACCAATCAAAATTCCAGATAGGCTAATTTCGGCAACTGTATCGCGCAAAAAGACACATGCAGACCATCGGTTCCTTTGACTTTTTACTCCTACGGACAAGATCTACAGCTCTGATGAGGTCCCAACCACCTCATTCAGAGCTGCATTTGTATTCTCACATTTACGGTGGCCTCAAAAACAACAAATTATGTCGTTTCATTTTCATTTTTTGTATGTTAAGATATACAACGTGATAAATTGATATTATAAATAGTCAAGCTTCTGAATAAAAATTATTGACGAAAACATAAAATTGGACTAATGTTGATTAGAGATTATATATATATATATTATTAAAATTATTTGTATAGGAATTGCTAAAAGATATGTTTTTCTCATTGAAATTTAAAGAATTTATACTTAAAATTTTTCTTATTATAATCAATTTGATTATAATAAGAAAAATTTATCTTTTAGCAATTCCTATACAAATAATTTTAAAATTAAGTAATAAGAAACATTCTAAATTGAATTTAAATAAAAAGAAAATGGAAAAATTAATAAATTTTCATATTTTAATGCACCCAATTCCCTTTTTTATCAATTACTTTCTGATTTAAAACGTTTTATTTATAGAGAACGTTGAACTTCAGTCGAATTATAAAGAATAAAAGATCGAAAATATCATTAAAAATATATTATTAATTTATAAGAGAGTCATTTATAAGAGCTCATCTGTAACACTAAAATCTAATTTTTATTAAATTTTCAATATAAAATAATATATTACCGCTATTATTTATTAGCATTTTAATACGACTATAACAATAAATGTTAATTTTATTTAATTTTCAGAAGCCAAAAGGATGTTGGATTTATTAAGTGGTCTTCGTCATATGCTGAAAAAACGTTTTGTATCCATAGACAACACAGTTTTTCGTCTTCATTGGATGGTGACAACATCCATACTACTTGCATTTAGTTTAGTTATAACAGCGAAACAGTACGTGGGAAACCCCATAGAATGTTTAAAAATGGGCAACACACCCGCTGGATTTATAAACTTATATTGTTGGACGCATTTAACTTATACTATACCCGAAGCATTTCATAAACAAGTCGGTAAAGAAGTACCTCATCCAGGAATAGATAATAGCAAGGATGGTGTGCGAAAATATTATGCATATTATCAATGGGTATGCTTCGTTTTATTCCTTCAAGGATTGTTATTTTATGCGCCTTATTATTTATGGTCTATATGGGAAGGTGGGCTATTAAAAGCGGTATCTCTAGGCATGCACTTTGCTATATTCAGTGACGAAGAAAGAGGACGTAAAAAGAGAATAATTACAGATTTTCTCGTGCATCATCTCAGGTGCCATAAATGGTATGCTCTAAAGTATTTTTTTTGTGAATTTCTATGTTTAATAAACGTTATAGGACAGATATTTTTATTGGATTTATTCTACGATGGAGGCTTTATAACGTTTGGTATAGACGTTATAAATTACTACAGAAGCAACCAGACTATAGTTAATCCTATGGTTTACGTCTTTCCACGTATGACAAAGTGCACATTTAGAGATTTTGGATTATCAGGTGACATTCAGTTTCACGATGCATTATGTATACTACCGTTGAATGTTTTGAACGAAAAAATATATATTTTTATATGGTTTTGGTTTATTATTTTAACATTTCTTACAATAATTGTGATGTTAGCTAGAATTTTAGTGTTGATTGCACCTTGCGTCAGGGCTCCTATGTTGCACATGAAGTGCCAAATTGTTTTAAGGGAGCATATAAATTTAATTGTTAAACAAACTAATATTGGAGATTGGTTTCTGTTGTATATGTTAAGTAAGAATTTAGATGTTGTGGTATTTCGTGAAATCGTTGGTGAAATTGCAAAAAAATTGGATAATGAAAGAAATGGTGAAACTGAATATCTTGTAACTTGATATTACATTATTTAGGCTATTTTTTATATTAATTTTTTATAATATAATCTCTGTATGTAATAATTTATAATGTTTATAAGTATTTTTTTTTATTTTTTAGAAATATTTTAAGCATATTATTGTACTAAAATTTATGAATGTAAACTATTTAATTCACTAAAAAAATTTTTATTTAATATTTTAATTGTAGAATATTCGTTAATATTTTTTAATGTACAATTTTTTCAATAGATGGCATAATGTAGCATGAATTTATAGCTTAAAATTTCATTATATCAACACAAAGTGTAACTATATTATTGTATTACGCATTAAACGTTACATCTTTTATAAACTATTGCTATATTTTCAGAATTATTATATCACAAATTACCACAAACTAAAAATAAAATAAAGTCAGTCAATATATAAGAATGTAAAACAATAGAACAAGGCAAAGATGCATCTATTTTGGTGCCTAATATATCTTCTTTTCTATACTGTAAAGAAGGTAAAGTGACAGATAATTCATCATTTGTATCGTAAATATCTCGAAAGAATTCAAAACAATTATTGCTATCATTAACACAAATTTATTGTACAAATATATTTTAAATATTTATTATTCTGTTTACTAGTTTCGAATTAAATTTCTATTGATACTCTGCCACGTGGAGAATTGAATACAAGGTTGGTTAGTTAAAACAATACACAAAATTATAACAATTGCTTAATATTCTTTGTATTGTTTCTTACATAAATATGTCTAGAAATATATAGAAAATAACTCGAATATTAAAAAGACTTTAATGAATTGTTAAAAAATAAGTGAACAATGAGCCAAAGCTAAGCGGAGTTTAGCTATTTATAACTTTATCTAACGAAAAGAACATTCTCTTTTTTGAAGATTCTCTAACAAATACAGTATAGAAAACATAATTATTATAGAATCAAGTTTTGCAACTTCTAACAATAAATTATCTTCTAAATCTACGTAAAAATTCGTCTAATATTGAAAGTTTTTATATAAATAACTATAATATTTTTTAAATGTTTATATCTAAAGTTGAACGTTGTTGACGTTTGGATGTTTAGAAGAAAAATGATTAGCTAAAAGTTTTAACTTTGCAGATCATTTCAAATTTAACGACTTCGCATAATGCCATAAATTTCAAGAGAATTCCTAACTTTACCTTTTCTTAAACATCCTCTATATAAACCAGATTTCCTTAAGAAAGATTTAATTTTTATTTTTTAATGACAACCCATCGAAGAGTAATATTTATAAAATCATTAAAATTAAACAAAAAAATAATGTTTTTAGTTGCAAAATTTCATTAAAATATTATTAAATTTATAATAAAAATATAAGTAAAGTTATTTTCTTTAGGCCTATATCAATTTAAATAGTAAAAGTTTTTTTGTGTTGCTATAAATAGATTTTAAATAATTTTAACACATTACTCCAGGCAATGATTTATATTANTTTTTATTTAAATTCAATTTAGAATGTTTCTTATTACTTAATTTTAAAATTATTTGTATAGGAATTGCTAAAAGATATGTTTTTCTCATTGAAATTTAAAGAATTTATACTTAAAATTTTTCTTATTATAATCAATTTGATTATAATAAGAAAAATTTATCTTTTAGCAATTCCTATACAAATAATTTTAAAATTAAGTAATAAGAAACATTCTAAATTGAATTTAAATAAAAAGAAAATGGAAAAATTAATAAATTTTCATATTTTAATGCACCCAATTCCCTTTTTTATCAATTACTTTCTGATTTAAAACGTTTTATTTATAGAGAACGTTGAACTTCAGTCGAATTATAAAGAATAAAAGATCGAAAATATCATTAAAAATATATTATTAATTTATAAGAGAGTCATTTATAAGAGCTCATCTGTAACACTAAAATCTAATTTTTATTAAATTTTCAATATAAAATAATATATTACCGCTATTATTTATTAGCATTTTAATACGACTATAACAATAAATGTTAATTTTATTTAATTTTCAGAAGCCAAAAGGATGTTGGATTTATTAAGTGGTCTTCGTCATATGCTGAAAAAACGTTTTGTATCCATAGACAACACAGTTTTTCGTCTTCATTGGATGGTGACAACATCCATACTACTTGCATTTAGTTTAGTTATAACAGCGAAACAGTACGTGGGAAACCCCATAGAATGTTTAAAAATGGGCAACACACCCGCTGGATTTATAAACTTATATTGTTGGACGCATTTAACTTATACTATACCCGAAGCATTTCATAAACAAGTCGGTAAAGAAGTACCTCATCCAGGAATAGATAATAGCAAGGATGGTGTGCGAAAATATTATGCATATTATCAATGGGTATGCTTCGTTTTATTCCTTCAAGGATTGTTATTTTATGCGCCTTATTATTTATGGTCTATATGGGAAGGTGGGCTATTAAAAGCGGTATCTCTAGGCATGCACTTTGCTATATTCAGTGACGAAGAAAGAGGACGTAAAAAGAGAATAATTACAGATTTTCTCGTGCATCATCTCAGGTGCCATAAATGGTATGCTCTAAAGTATTTTTTTTGTGAATTTCTATGTTTAATAAACGTTATAGGACAGATATTTTTATTGGATTTATTCTACGATGGAGGCTTTATAACGTTTGGTATAGACGTTATAAATTACTACAGAAGCAACCAGACTATAGTTAATCCTATGGTTTACGTCTTTCCACGTATGACAAAGTGCACATTTAGAGATTTTGGATTATCAGGTGACATTCAGTTTCACGATGCATTATGTATACTACCGTTGAATGTTTTGAACGAAAAAATATATATTTTTATATGGTTTTGGTTTATTATTTTAACATTTCTTACAATAATTGTGATGTTAGCTAGAATTTTAGTGTTGATTGCACCTTGCGTCAGGGCTCCTATGTTGCACATGAAGTGCCAAATTGTTTTAAGGGAGCATATAAATTTAATTGTTAAACAAACTAATATTGGAGATTGGTTTCTGTTGTATATGTTAAGTAAGAATTTAGATGTTGTGGTATTTCGTGAAATCGTTGGTGAAATTGCAAAAAAATTGGATAATGAAAGAAATGGTGAAACTGAATATCTTGTAACTTGATATTACATTATTTAGGCTATTTTTTATATTAATTTTTTATAATATAATCTCTGTATGTAATAATTTATAATGTTTATAAGTATTTTTTTTTATTTTTTAGAAATATTTTAAGCATATTATTGTACTAAAATTTATGAATGTAAACTATTTAATTCACTAAAAAAATTTTTATTTAATATTTTAATTGTAGAATATTCGTTAATATTTTTTAATGTACAATTTTTTCAATAGATGGCATAATGTAGCATGAATTTATAGCTTAAAATTTCATTATATCAACACAAAGTGTAACTATATTATTGTATTACGCATTAAACGTTACATCTTTTATAAACTATTGCTATATTTTCAGAATTATTATATCACAAATTACCACAAACTAAAAATAAAATAAAGTCAGTCAATATATAAGAATGTAAAACAATAGAACAAGGCAAAGATGCATCTATTTTGGTGCCTAATATATCTTCTTTTCTATACTGTAAAGAAGGTAAAGTGACAGATAATTCATCATTTGTATCGTAAATATCTCGAAAGAATTCAAAACAATTATTGCTATCATTAACACAAATTTATTGTACAAATATATTTTAAATATTTATTATTCTGTTTACTAGTTTCGAATTAAATTTCTATTGATACTCTGCCACGTGGAGAATTGAATACAAGGTTGGTTAGTTAAAACAATACACAAAATTATAACAATTGCTTAATATTCTTTGTATTGTTTCTTACATAAATATGTATAGAAATATATAGAAAATAACTCGAATATTAAAAAGACTTTAATGAATTGTTAAAAAATAAGTGAACAATGAGCCAAAGCTAAGCGGAGTTTAGCTATTTATAACTTTATCTAACGAAAAGAACATTCTCTTTTTTGAAGGTTCTCTAACAAATACAGTATAGAAAACATAATTATTATAGAATCAAGTTTTGCAACTTCTAACAATAAATTATCTTCTAAATCTACGTAAAAATTCGTCTAATATTGAAAGTTTTTATATAAATAACTATAATATTTTTTAAATGTTTATATCTAAAGTTGAACGTTGTTGACGTTTGGATGTTTAGAAGAAAAATGATTAGCTAAAAGTTTTAACTTTGCAGATCATTTCAAATTTAACGACTTCGCATAATGCCATAAATTTCAAGAGAATTCCTAACTTTACCTTTTCTTAAACATCCTCTATATAAACCAGATTTCCTTAAGAAAGATTTAATTTTTATTTTTTAATGACAACCCATCGAAGAGTAATATTTATAAAATCATTAAAATTAAACAAAAAAATAATGTTTTTAGTTGCAAAATTTCATTAAAATATTATTAAATTTATAATAAAAATATAAGTAAAGTTATTTTCTTTAGGCCTATATCAATTTAAATAGTAAAAGTTTTTTTGTGTTGCTATAAATAAATTTTAAATAATTTTAACACATTACTCCAGGCAATGATTTATATTAATATTTTTATTGAATTATAAAGTGTAAAATAACATTTAGATGTTTATTTGAGGCTTTCTCAAGACAGAAATAATAGCTGTAACAAGATTCGATTGATTATTTAACAGCATACGAACAATGAAAGAACAATGGATCAGTTATCTTCTATTGTTGATATGTCGATACGTCTAAAGGATAGACAAAATACGAACTAAATAGTTATTATTATTATTTATAAGAACAGTTTGCTTCATGATGCAATTGAAACTACATTAAAATTTCTCTCTTTGATATTAATAAATAGGTAAATATTAAATTTGGTTATCTATAAATTTGTGAATTTATTATTATTTAAGTGTATAATCGTTTTTAAATATAAAAACACTCTTTTCTCCTTTAATTTTATGTTTATAAGATAAATTTTATAGGATTTTCTTTAGATTTATACATTGTTAATTCATTGTAGATAGGCCATAGTCAAGAACTGATTTTGGATAATAAATCAATATTATAGATACATAATAATCATTAAATTTACTAGAAAGATTATAGTTGACGGACGGCATTATAATCGGGCCCTAAAATGGGTGAGCCTTACATTGGTAGAAATTCAGCTCTGAATAAGGCGGCTGGGACCTTATCGAAGCTGTAGACTATGCCATTAAGAGTAAAAAAAGTCAAAGGAACCGATGGTCTACATGTAAACGTTCGGGAGATATAGCGGTGTAGAATATAGTAAGTCTATATATAGTACAATACTGTATATAGATATAGCCTATTCCGGAAGTAGTCGATGTAATGGCGTTTCTCGTGTTTTATGAACTTTTAACTGTCTGTAGTAAAGTGGAAAGCAGATGAATTTTGCATTGTTTTGAGAAATTATTCTGGATTTTTTTATCTTTTAAATTTTTTGACCAATCAAAATTCCAGATAGGCTAATTTCGGCAACTGTATCGCGCAAAAAGACACATGCAGACCATCGGTTCCTTTGACTTTTTACTCCTACGGACAAGATCTACAGCTCTGATGAGGTCCCAACCACCTCATTCAGAGCTGCATTTGTATTCTCACATTTACGGTGGCCTCAAAAACAACAAATTATGTCGTTTCATTTTCATTTTTTGTATGTTAAGATATACAACGTGATAAATTGATATTATAAATAGTCAAGCTTCTGAATAAAAATTATTGACGANATAGCTACAAAATATTTAGTTTTAAGCATAATAAAGTTATAATTATTACAAATAAAATAAAATATAAACAAATTTATGCATTTACTGTTATTTCTTTCGGTTCAGTTACAATATTTGTAGCCAAATCAGCCACAATTTCTCGAAATAGTAATATATCAATGTTTTGACCTAACAAATATATTAGGAACCAATCGCCGATAGATCCATGACGAACTATGGTATGGACATGCTGTATTCGCAAAATACGATATTTAGCATTAAACATGTAAATTCGCAAAAACGGGCAAACTATCAGCGCAATTCTGAATAACAAAACAAATCCAGTTAAAACAGCAAGTATAATAAACCAAAACCATAAGAAAATATATATTTTCTCATTAATTATATTAAGTGGCAAGATGCAAAGGGCATCGTGGAGTTCTACATTACCAGAATGGCCATATTTATGAAAACGACATTTTGTCATTCTTGGAAAGATCCGAATCATTGGATCAGTTCGATCTTTCTGATCCAATTCGGCAAATTGTAATACTTCTAAACCATAATTTAAAAACTCACCATCGAAGAATCTATCCATGAGAAACATTTGACCTATCACGTTGATAAAAGCGGCTAATTCGCACGAAAAATACTTATAAGCATACCAATCGTGTTGATGTTGATGCGCATTATTGACTATATAATCAATTAATAACTTCTTCTTCTTCAATATTTCATTTTCGTTGGCACATATTACAAAGTCTAAATGTTTTGATATCGACTCCATTTTTCCATTTTCCATTACTTTCCATGCCCATCTCGGCATGTAAAACAGTGCAGCTTGCAGAAATAACACAAAACATACCCACTGATAATATTTGTGATAACGAAACTCCTTCTCATCTTGTACCGAATCAACTCCAGGATATGGTACGTCTTTACCAACTTCTTTATAGAAAGCTCGAGGGATGGAATGTGTTGTATGTATCCAGCAATATGTATTCATCATAGTATCCGAAATTTCATCACTTTGTATGCAAGTTATTGGTTCTCCTACGTATTGTCTCGTCGTTACTATAATGCAGAATGCTAACAAGATAAAAACTGTGAATAAATAATGCAGCCTGAATACAGTATTATCGATATAAATTCGGTGAATCTTAAAAACAGACTTTATATTTCTCACGAGCTCCAACATGGTGCCTTCAAGTCAGTATCGCAACTAGTTCTATACTCTCGAATAAATAAACTGATATCGTGTCTCGTGTTACTTAATGTCATAAGATATTCAATTTTTAGCATCTTAAGACATTGTGTGATGTTACTAGGCAGGATATAGATCAATAATGCATATTAAGAAGGGCCCTCAGATAACAAGATGCTCCCTATGACAGGGCCTGATATTTATTTTTGATTCGATTTAACAGAATAATTATTTAATCCAAATGCTATTTGTTATATTAATTTTTAGAAGAATTAAATTAAATTATGATATAATCGAAATTCTCAAATAAATAAAAATTATATTAAGTTTATAGTTTAAAAAATAAATACCTTGATTTTTTTATCTTAATCAAGCTAAATTCACTTATTTTTCATGTAATAAATTAATGTTATTTAAACATTTAAACATAAAAATTATAAAAATTTTCGGAAATAACATCATTTAAAATTAATTTTTATAAATATTAAACTCGTCGTTATTCCTCATTTAAACCAAGAAATAGAGACCATTCATTGTTATTTTTAATAAATAATCATTAAAATTATTACAGAAAAATAAAAATTTTCGAATATTACAGCAAATTTTGCAATAATAATTCTATTTTTAACAGTTTAAATTAACTTTTTTTTTTGTCTATTTTTTAAAGCCACAAACTAGAGATGTTCAGTATCATTGTTAACAATAACTGTTTATTTTTAGCGTTTCTGATTACATGTTTGAAAAACTGACAACAATATAACAATTAATCAAGAAACACGTGCGATATATCACATTAAAAGAAAAAATTTTGTAATTTGAGAAACAAAATTATGCAGTAAATGTGAAAATATTTTGATTGTCAGTCCATGTAACAATGTCACATTTCATTGACTGACTTCTTTAACTAATTTCCTTTCGCTCGACATCATGTGATTGGATATATGCCAATGGTTATGAGTCAGCAACAAGGAAGATGTGCACGAGAAAAAGAAGAAGAAGAAAAATAAAAAAAAAATCAACAAAACATTCAGGTGTCCTACATTGTATCTTTGCCAAGTTTGTTTGGTCGCGTAACCAATGAACTTATGTTTTAAAAAGCATAATTTGTTTTTCGTAATCATGTTTTGCATTAATTATAAATAAAATATTTTAAAAAATTATTATTTATTAAACAAATATATTAATTATAATTTTTNATATATATATAATTATTGAATAATTATATATTTTAGAATAAAAATTAAAATATTTAAAATGAATTCGAAATTTATTTATAAAAGTTTGACTTTTGTAAAAATAGTTTAAACACAAATTATGAATAAAGTTAAGTTAAAATGATGGAAATTTGCAGAAAAAAATGATAACTTTTTTCATGTTTTATTTAGTTAACTTCGATGTTTTATTTGTAACGTTTGGTCAAAATTTAGCTCCGTTGTTTAACTTCTCTCATCTAACATCCTCCCCTCGACCACAATCGGGTCTTTCCCAACTCTAAAAATAGTACAAGAAAAAGGTTCAGGACAAACTAGGTTCTGACTTGTTGGTGCTATCATCAAGAGAACAGCAAGATGTTATTATACTTTACATCTTTCGTTGCTATACTATGCCATTTTATAGTATGACGTATGTACCCAGAATGCAACTGGTGAGGATATACTTTGACCATCTTATGGAGTATTCAATCACTCCAAATATATATTTATCCAGTGATTGAACCACGTTTCGACCATGTTGGACTTCTTAAGAAGCTTAAAGAGCCTCCTTAAGGTTGGTAGAGTCCATATCGACAACAATGTATTCCGATTGCATTATTTGTTTACCGTGCTTATTCTATTGGCATTCTGTATCGTTGTGACTACTAAACAGTACGTTGGTGATCCTATTAACTGTATGAAGAGCAATGCAATACCGGAAGAAGTCATTAACCTGTATTGTTGGATACATACAACGTACTCGATATCCAAAGCATTTCATAAGAAAGTAGGAGAGGAGGTGCCTTATCCGGGTGTAGATTCGACAGAAGACAAGAGCGAATTTCGTTACCATAAATACTATCAATGGGTATGTTTTATGCTATTCCTGCAAGCGTTATTCTTTTATTTTCCAAGGTGGTTATGGAGAATGTGGGAAAATGGTAAGATTCAGTCGCTGATGATGGATTTAGATTGCCCAATATGCGCCGAAAATGAGAAAAAACAGAAGAAAAAGCTGCTGGTTGATTATATTATTAATAGTTTACATCAACACGACTGGTATGCTGCTAAATATTTTGTTTGCGAAATTATTGCTTTCGTTAACGTTATAGGACAGATGCTGCTCATGGATAAGTTCTTCAGCGGAGAATTCCTAAATTACGGATTGGAAGTATTAAAATTTACAGAAATGGATCAAAACGATCGGACCGATCCTATGATAAGAGTTTTTCCAAGATTAACTAAATGCCATTTTTATAAATACGGCCATTCTGGTAAAATCGAAGAACACGATGCTTTATGTGTATTACCTCTTAATATAATTAATGAGAAGATTTATATATTTTTATGGTTCTGGTTCATCATACTTGCCATTTTAACGGGTGTAGTACTGATATTTAGAATGGTTATTGCCGCTTGCCCACCTGTACGTGTTTACCTGTTGAGTATGAGATTCCGCATCTTGCACATGGAACATATACACACCATAGTGAGACGTGGATCCATTGGTGATTGGTTTCTGATATATATGCTGGGACAGAATGTAGATTCATTAATATTTAGAGATATTATAGCAGATATTGCTAAGAGAATCACAACAGAACCAAAGGAAGCAGTTGCGTAAGTTTAAATGGTATAGGAATATTTACAACAATTTGATTGACTTTTATGACATAAAATGCTTATAATTTAAATAGTTTATAAATATTGTATATTATTTAATAAATATTTTAATAACTTTTAAACGGATTTTTTTTTATTTTTAAATAAATTTATAAAGGTATTAAACAATTTCTGTCAGTTGAAAATATACAAAATTCTGCATACTTTAATGTATTATCATACGGGTTAGAAGACTCTTGATAGAACTATGTTTATTTTCAGAGATCAAACTTAAATCACGTGATTTATCACTATCCAATAAGAATTTACGTTTCAAACGAATTTTTTTTTGACATTATTTAAATAAAATTTTCCACGATTACGGTTTCTTAGGAAATTATTTTTAATTTAGTATCTAGGGTATAAATAATTATTTTAAACTAATTTAAAATATAAAAAATACTTTTTAAGTGTTCTTATTTTTTAAGTATAGGCCTATTTATTCGCTATAAAATTAATTTTCGTGTATTTTAAAGTTTTTAATGTTTTTATAAATTGTGTTTAACGTTAACATTATAGACAACTGTAAAGCTTGTTTTAATGTTTATTTCTATATTTATATCGCTACATAATCACATAGATTTAATGTAGTAAACACTCAGCTTTCATAGCTACAAAGCCACATAATTATAAGTTTAACATACATAGGAGCGGAATTATAGATTTAACATAACTACATATGCTATTAGTTTCATAGCTATATAGGCACATACAATAATTACAGATTTAATACAGTTGTACACTAAATAGTTATATGGGTTTGTAAATATGTACTATGTATAACTAATGTACTAAATTACACAGTTCTCATAACTAGCTCAATGCTAACAATAAATATCTACATAAGACACGTTTGTATATTATCTACTTATATAGTTATGCATATACTTACATAAATATATAAGCATTTATTTGAATATTTATATAATTATATAATATTTATGTAATTACATTACTAGATGTTTGCCTCATTATATAGTAATATAAACACAAAGTTGCATATATAATATACAATTATAGTTGTCTGGTAAATTAATTAAGTTTAAATCTTCGCTAAGTTATAATTAATTACAATAAAAAATATACGCGATTTAAAAACATTTAATAGTTAAATGAGTAGTTTTGTATAATTTTTAATGTTAAATCAAAAAATTTTTCACATAATATATGTTGTAGTGTTCATAAGACAATGAGTATTTCGGGTATATAAAATTATAGAAGATACTTAAAATATTTATATATATTATAAGAGTATTTTATAAAAGTTCTTGAACTTATGGAGAGATAATTATACTAACATTTAGACAATATGTTAATGAAGGACAGAATACAAACGAATTTATTAAAATATCAACGTTTCGTTATGTTTATTTTGGATAAAAACGTTTGGTTATTCTTTAACACTTAACCTAGAAAGTTTTTTTTAGTATTTACATCCTTGTGGATCACTTTACGGTCAGAAATAGTGTCGAAGAAAATTATGTAAAGATTTTTCGCGTTAAAACTGAGCGCATGATAAACGAGAATTGTCTATTTTCAGTTCTAGAATAGCCAACACTCCATTAATTATAAGTTAAACATAAAATTATAGTAAATAAATTAATTAATTTAAGCATTTTCCACTTGGTATCAATGATGCTCATCGACTTCACACAGAGAAAAAAAGATGGAAATGAAGATAATTTTTGAAAAATTTAAATTAATTTTTTAAGAAAAAGCATAGTCTATATTTAATATTTGTTTATTGCACAATATATCTACAAAATTTTCAACATTACTCAGCAACACTCGTAATTTTCGTAGAAGTGAAATTTTGAAAAATTTCGAAAAATCAATTTTTCGTCAACATATGCTTTCAAAACATTAAAAAATATCCATAAATATACAAAATATTTTCAACTTATTGTTGATTATTTATTTATTAAATAAAAATTCGAACACAACAAATTTCGATACTTGAAAACATCTTTTAGTAAATGTAATAAATATGTATATTGTTAATTCAGCTGCTTAAAATGTTTTCTAGCTTTTCCAAATATAAGTACACTTCAAGAACACTTCACTAAGTTCAGTTTTTTAACTAAAAACTACAATTTCTATTGGAAATATTCAAACTTTTAAGATTGTGATTCATCTTTTAGTATCATGTGATGAACTTGGATGTTACCTATTAACAAGTACAGGGTTGGTTGAAGGTGTAGAAGCTAAAAATATTCAATTTTTTCCGACTAAAGATCGTTTACAACAGACTCAGTCATCACTCTCCTACTGTCTAGACTCATAATTTTGTCCATAGTTTTTTTTTTAATGTTTATATTATTTCAGTTTCATTGTTTTAAAAACTTTCTCAAATTACAAAAAAATATTTTNTTATAAATTAAAATATTTATAAAATATTTTTATATTATAAGTTGTTTTTTTTATAATAAAAAACATTAAAAATTCGAACTATCATTACCCAGCGTGATATGAAAATATAAACAGTCAATGATTTTACTTTTAAATATTAATATTAAACCAAATTAAGAACGTTTATAACTATTGAATTGGCATTTATGAGAAGAAAATATTAACGAAAATATAAAATTTCAATTGAAAATTTGTAATTTTTGTAAACAAGGCAAATATTTATTATAATTAGTTTGTATTTTCTGAATTTTTTAACATACATCTTCAAGTCTTACAAATGTATTTTTATATGCAAAAATGACCTCTAAAAGAGAACATTCTATTAAAAAAACGCTTAAAAATTCGAACTGTCATTACTCAGCGTGGTATAAAAACAAACAGTAAATGATTTCATTTTTAAATATTGAAATAAAACCAAATTAAGAACATTTCTAACTATTGAATAGTTATTTTTTAACAACAAAATATGCGAGAAAATATGAAATTTAAACTGAAGGTTATTCATTTTTATAAAGTTGATATTTTTATTTACTCTGATTATAATTAGTTTAAAATAAAATATGTTTTCAAGCTAATTTAAAATAATAAGTGAACAATGAGCCAAAGCTAAGCGGAGTTTNAATAAAACCAAATTAAGAACATTTCTAACTATTGAATAGTTATTTTTTAACAACAAAATATGCGAGAAAATATGAAATTTAAACTGAAGGTTATTCATTTTTATAAAGTTGATATTTTTATTTACTCTGATTATAATTAGTTTAAAATATGTTTTCAAGCTAATTTAAAATATATTTTTACGTTTAAAAGAGCAAAATATTGTAAATTTTTCTAATAAAAGCTTTTGCTCAAACAATTTAAACAGGATTCTTGTAATATTTGAAATTAATTTAAATGAATCAACAGATAATTTTATGTTAAAACGATTTTTCTAAAAGAATATAAAATTAACTTATTTATAATTATTTTAAAAATAATATTTTTTTTATACAAAATACATAAAATATACTTAAAAACAATTGCATAAAACTGTCACAATTTTAATTGTATAGGTTTATAACTCAAATTTATTTAAACAAGATTAATATTTATGATTTTAAAAACATAAATTGTGTTTATTCTATCTCCTGTAGTTTATTTTTATTTAAACTCAGTATCTTGTTGTTAAGTTGGGCAAAACTAGTTATGAATCTTTAATATTTTGGCTATGTAAGTTAAGGTCACGAAGATTTAGATACATTCAATAAATATATTTTTACTTTATCAAGTCTGTGTATAGTCTAGATTAATTAATAATTCATATTTTCAATGCTTTTTATTTATTAATTTGTAGAATTATTTGTTAATAAAACAAGCAAGTAGACTAAAAATTTAAATTTATATTGATTTTATTAATTATTTTTTGCTTAAAATAAAGGAATAAAGAAATTTTTTATTTGTTCTCGATTAATTCTACTTAATATTTAAGGCTTATAAATTTACATTAAGTGAAATTGTTAAATATAATTTGGTTAAAATAAGATTATCTGCTATATTTCTTTCAATAGACGATAGTAAGATTGTGAAGTACAGACAATTTAAGCGTAGAATTGAATAATTTTATCTTTCAACTGTAAGTACTATAGTTCTGTTTTATATTGACTTTGAACTTCAAGGTCTATCTGGCAAACATTTTTCTTTTCGCACTTTCATTTGATGTATTGTTTGACATCGTGTTTATTCGTTCTTTATAACTNTGAGTATTTCGGGTATATAAAATTATAGAAGATACTTAAAATATTTATATATATTATAAGAGTATTTTATAAAAGTTCTTGAACTTATGGAGAGATAATTATACTAACATTTAGACAATATGTTAATGAAGGACAGAATACAAACGAATTTATTAAAATATCAACGTTTCGTTATGTTTATTTTGGATAAAAACGTTTGGTTATTCTTTAACACTTAACCTAGAAAGTTTTTTTTAGTATTTACATCCTTGTGGATCACTTTACGGTCAGAAATAGTGTCGAAGAAAATTATGTAAAGATTTTTCGCGTTAAAACTGAGCGCATGATAAACGAGAATTGTCTATTTTCAGTTCTAGAATAGCCAACACTCCATTAATTATAAGTTAAACATAAAATTATAGTAAATAAATTAATTAATTTAAGCATTTTCCACTTGGTATCAATGATGCTCATCGACTTCACACAGAGAAAAAAAGATGGAAATGAAGATAATTTTTGAAAAATTTAAATTAATTTTTTAAGAAAAAGCATAGTCTATATTTAATATTTGTTTATTGCACAATATATCTACAAAATTTTCAACATTACTCAGCAACACTCGTAATTTTCGTAGAAGTGAAATTTTGAAAAATTTCGAAAAATCAATTTTTCGTCAACATATGCTTTCAAAACATTAAAAAATATCCATAAATATACAAAATATTTTCAACTTATTGTTGATTATTTATTTATTAAATAAAAATTCGAACATAACAAATTTCGATACTTGAAAACATCTTTTAGTAAATGTAATAAATATGTATATTGTTAATTCAGCTGCTTAAAATGTTTTCTAGCTTTTCCAAATATAAGTACAC